ACTCCTATCCCATTCTCATTATTACCATAGCATTACTATGATATGTATAAGTATGAAAACACATGGCTGGGTAACATGTGAGGTCAAGTTAAGCAGTTTTGCAAGAAGACAATTCAGATAAATTTATGTTTAGCCACAAATATAAGTTAATTGTAATGTAAACCTACACTATCTATTAAACCTTTCAAGCAAAGTTGTTTTTCTACCAATTTAATTTATTATTATAACAAACATTAACAAACCAGGAAGTGTTGGCAAAACTTTGTCTTAAACAAAAATTATCATCTCCAAATCTGTTAAATGAAATGAAGTGATTAGCAAAATTTTGATATGTTAGCCATCAGTAACCACTAGAAATAAACAAAATACCCTGCACCAAAACTACTACAGAAAACATCTTTTACAATGGTTAAAAAGGGTTTTTAACAGTAGTTTTAGAGGTGAAGTGATTACTGTGGACATAAAAAAGTAAGAATTTCACGGCATTTCTTAGAAAATAATCGCCATGAAAAGGTCTCAATAAATAGTGTTAAAGAGCTCAATTTTCATTGAATTCAATATTAAAACTCAAATCTAAACCTCAACTCTCAGTAAACTTAAATTCAACTAAAATTCAATGAATTCAATCCTAAAACTCAAATCTAATACTCAGATAGCTAAAGTTTCAAATCGTAATCAACTAAACCTGATAATCAACAACATAACCAATCCATAGTTCAACTAAACCTAATAAACAATCAAGATAAAAAGGGTGAGATTCTATGAATCTTGGTAATGATAGAAGTCCATCATAAAATTATACAAAGCTCATAAATGCATGCAAAACAAGCCATATTAACAGCACGTGCATCCTAGCATAAACATCAATGCTTAATATCATAAGCTTTGCAAATAGATATAATCAATGATGCTCATGCATCTCACGCTTTGCAAACAGATATAATCAATGATGCTTATGCATTTCATACTTTGCAACACACATGATCGTGGCAATTAAATCAATATCACATACTGATAATTGAGTACAGCTCGACCAGCTTAATGCAAGGCAAATTTCACATACTCATACCTGAGTACAACTTTATGAGATCAATGCAAAGCAAATTTCACAAGCTCAAACCTAAATACAGCTCTACAAGCTTAATGCAAAGCAATTTTCAAATACTCATACCTAAGTATAACTCTACGAGCTCAATGCAAAGTAGGTTCCACAAACACACACCTAAGTATAGCTTTACAAGTTCACAATCATTTGTCACAGAACACATCCACCATATATTTATTAAAGAATATAGGCACTATGGCACAAACAAACGTGCAGAACTATTGCGCAAGTATATGAGAGAGAAAGAGTCACTACCTGGAGTCTTTTCTTTTGGATTACCTTGTGCAGATTTTTTCTTTACTAGCTTCTTGGCGGGCTCAGGCAAATATCAAATCCTATAATATAGTTTCACATATAAATGGGTCAATGTTTAGTCCATTTAGCTTATGTTATCCAAAATATAACTTCTCTTAACCCATTAATAAACTCTGTCTTTTTTATTTAATAGTTGGTCATCTTGGATAATATTTTTATATTTATATTATAACTTTTGAAAGGTCTTCTTTTCTTTTCTTTCCCATCCATAAGGTTCCCGCCAAAATCAGTATATTTATATAATGTCTCTTTGAATATTTTAACTCTCTTCAAAATTTCAAAGCCCCAAGCTTCAAGCATCTCTTTTCACATTATCCTATAACCAAATATTACACACAAATACATGTATATACATACATATGTATATACCGAAAAGCAAACCCAGATTTAAATCATCTAACCCTCCTCAACTTTTCGGTCAACACACTTAGTCAATCTAAAAATATCTTCATTCATTTTGGTTAAGCTCCTAAATCTCTTTTGATTTTTTTTCCAATTCAACCCATTTAAAACCAATAAACTTCTTTGAACCATTAACAGTAATACATATCTACGGGTATGTAACTAAAACAAGGGCATTTCCTCCCATTTTGTTTTTTAAAAACATTGAGCATAACAGTACCCAATATCACATTCCTTTTTATTCGTTTATCCCATCAATCTGCACAAAATAATTCCCTTAATTCTTCCCAAGTTAAAAAAAACCAAACTACTCCTCTATTTTACAGCACATGTATATACACACATAGTGGTTCGCATATGTGTATGTCTCTCTCCCTGCCTCTCTCTCTCTCTCTATATCTATCAAACTTTCTTTTACAGTGAACCCGATGACCTCCCTGTTCAATCAATCTAAATTTAGCAACAAAATCTCCTCACAAACCAGTCACAAGATGCACAAGATTGGAGAAGAAAATGACATGCAACCATATTACGGGGGTGTGTGTGTATATATATATCATATTTTCTCCTCATTCAACATCCAAATCAATGGCTATTTCCTTGATTCATTTAGACCCCTGTTTCAGCCAACCCAGAGTAGAGCAAAAACCAGAAAAAAGAAAAAAAATCAACGTGCAAGCTGAAAAACATGCTCCCTAACCATCAATAAACATTGCTCTTCCATCATCACCAAGTTTCAGACTTGATCGGGAGTTTTTCTCACCAGAACCCAACTTCCAAGCAACATCACCACCTCATACAGCCATCAATCAAGAAAATAAAGGGGGGAAGAGGCTCAAGATATTCACCTTATTCAAAATCAAGTGTTGCATGTAAGAGATCCTCCTTCGATGAGCTTCCTCCGGTCACCTTCTTCCTTTCGGTCTCTCACAATTTCTCTCAACTCTCCCCCTGTTTCTTTCCCGTTCCAGATGATAAAAATGAGAAAGAAGTGAATCATTGATGATTAAATGGAGAGGTTAACACGTGGGGCATGGGTGTGGGTCATTGTATTAAACATTTTCACAGTACACCTTGTCTTTGACCCTTTCTCTATTTCCCCCCCTCAAATTTAAGAATGAATCCAGAAATTAATCCATAATGTTTTATATAGATTTTCCTCATCTATTAGTTTTTTTGACCCATGAAATAATTTCTGTAAAAATTTCAGGTTAAAAGTCAACTCCTAACTATTTTTTTGGAATTTTTTAAGAAAATAGTCATTAACTCTAGAAATTAATCCTTAATCCATTTTAAGGATTTTATGCCTTGAATAACTTCTTTATTACTTAAAATAATTTCCCTGAAATTTCCAAATTAATTAGAAACATTTAAGTGTTTTTCTTCAAATTTTCTAAGAAATTAACCCATTTTTGCCCTAAAAAATATCTTTAAATTTATTTAAGCCACTTTTTGGGAAATAAAATTTTCCAAAATATTTCTAAGTCTTCAAAATTCATATTCCATATTTTTTCCCAATTTATTCAGGTACTAAATAATTTTAAATAAAATTTTTTATTTCTGTTTTTCCTGAGTCAAAAAAAAATTGGGGTGTTATATCATCGATGTTAGGTGTTTTGAATCATTTTAAAAACTTTTTGAAACCACTTAAAAGGATTTTTCATGACATTTAACTATGTAACCACCGTTAAAAGTGCTTATCACAGCATTTTTTTTAAAGTTGCATTAATTCCAAGCATCAACCTCATTATTTTCACTATAAGGGCATACTTTTCATGACGGTTATTTAAATAACTACCGTGAAAAGTAACTTTTACTATTAGATAATTACAAAATTACCATTGCTTTTTTTTTTCATGGTGTTTTTTTTTGTTTTAATCGCCGTAAAAGGGTGTTGTTAAGGCTACTTTTTGTAGTAGTGCAATATGAATCTTGTAAACAATTGAAATGAGTCGTTGACAGGAATGTCTCTTTCTAGCTCATTTTTGAAAGATCACAAGATTCCATAATGACCATGAGCTTACACTTCATTGCAATAATCTTAATTACATTTTGTCTTTATGAAAATAGAATAGAAATAATCTAGTTGGAGCCATCCCCTTAGCATTGGCTTTTATGACAAATATCAAAGACTTATATTTGTGCCAAATGTATTCACAAATTTATGAAAACTAGTATATTTGAATATCAATCACTTGATCTTGTCTAACAAAAACCTTATAGGTGTGTTACCTTTCACTCTTGCCAAACTTATTGAGAATTTGCTAGATTTGAGTAGAAACAATGAAGTTTGGTCCCATTTGGTGTGAAGTACTGAAAATGAAAGATAAGGATTGCGATTGAGAGTGAAAAACTATATTAAAAATATATTTAGTATGAGTAATTGTGTGATACTTGAGATTAGACAAACCCATATACGCAAAATTGAAGAATACCATGAGGGGAAGTGGTATTCTCCAATCCCATCTACATAGGATTGCCTAATCCCATGTGATAAGAAATCATTCATGCTAAATATTCTTTTAACATATGTTTTTAACCCCAATCTCAATCCTTATCTCTCATTTTCAATGTTTTGTATCAAACGGAACCTTTGAGTCATTCTCTTTTAACTTTGGGTTTTATGACAAACCTTAGGAACTTATATTTGAACTCTAATTCATTCATTGCAGGTGCCATCCCTTCTTCAATTTTTAATTTGACATATTTACAATACTTTAATGTTTCTCAAAATCGGTTAAGTGGCAGCATACCAGAACAGATTGGAAATTTCATCAGTTATCTTTCTAATCTAGATATCTCCCACAATAATCTAAGTGGAAAAGTGCCGCACATTTTGTATGATTATTTTTATGGTAACTTTAGTCACAACAAATTCAATGGAATATTACCGTATGACATATGTGCTTCCCCATTAAAATGTAGCATTAATTTGAGCTACAATGATATATCTGGTAGTATACCCAGAGAATTTGGTAGATTGTACTACATCGATTTGTCATACAATCTTCTCAGTGGCTATGTTCCAAGTGAAGTTTATGGTCGTTTCTCTCATGACATTTTAGAGGGGAATGAAGAATTACTTGGTCCGGAGATTCATGATTCTTCTAAAGCTCCAAAGTCTTTATTGTTGAAAGTCTTTATTCCCTTAACAATTTTTCTTATCATTATATTTGTCATGGGTTTCATTTTATTTCACTCGTTCAAAAGGAATAAGAAATCCATAAGTGAGACAAGAGAAGCAAAAAATGGGGATTTGTTTTCCATATGGAATTATGATGGAAACATTGCATATAAAGATATCATTGAAGCAACGGAAGATTTTGATATCAAATATTGTATTGGAACTGGTGCCTACGGAAGTGTTTATAGAGCACAGCTTCCTAGTGGCAAAATTGTAGCATTGAAAAAACTCCACAGAAGAGAATATGAAAACACATATTTTTCTAAGAGTTTTCATAATGAAGTGAAGATGTTAAGTGAAATTCGACATCGCAATATCATAAAGCTTCATGGTTTTTGTTTACATAATCAATGCATGTTTCTCATCTATGAATACATGGAAAGAGGTAGCCTTTTTTATGTGTTGAATAATGATGACGAAGCTAAAGAGGTTGATTGGAGTAAGAGAGTAAATGCCATCAAAGGAATAGCAAATTCTTTGTTCTACCTTCATCATGAATGTGTTCCTGTAATTATCCATCGAGACATAACAACTAGTAATGTGTTATTGAACTCAAAGATGGAGGCATTTCTATCTGACTTTGGCACAGCTAGAATCATTGATCCAAATACATCTAATCAAACTCTTCTAGTTGGTACTTATGGTTATATTGCTCCAGGTCAGCTTTTCTGATTCTCTTATACTTCTCTTGTTTCTGTTGTATATTTTTTAACATTTACTTACCTCTAGACAGTACAATCACATAATTTCTATATATTTTTGCTCCATTGCAGAGCTTGCATACACTGTAGTTGTGACTGAAAAATGTGATGTTTATAGTTTTGGAGTGGTGACAATGGAAACAATCATGGGAAAACATCCTGGAGATTTGATATCATCTTTGTCAAAGACATATTCTAAAAGCATTTGGCTAAAAGATGTGTTAGACCCACGTATCCCACAGCCATCGCGGAAAGATGCACGAGATGTGACTCTTTTGGTCACAATAGCATTAGCATGCTTGAATCCATCTCCCCAGTGTCGGCCATCGATGCAGCAAGTGTCTCAAAGGTTTTTATCCTCCAACATGCCATTACCCATTCCTTTCAATGATATAACGATCCAGCAGTTAATGAATCAATATGTGCAAATAATGTAGTCCAATAAAAAGCTAGTAGACTTGGCTTTATACTTGCTTTTTGAGGCAGATGTAACCTCTAATTAGGATTTTCTATAAAGTCTAGATTTGAACTTTGAAGTTAGCCATTGCTGCTAATATTTGTCTGTTTTATTTGCTAGAAGTTGAGAAAAAGTTGTCATATTCACAGGATCTTATTGTAAAGAACAATCTAACACCTAAATTTTAGTTTCTAAAAAAAATTCCAATTTACATCTTAGTGACCCATATTTTCAATAATTTCATTAATTAGATTAAAATGGGTTTTTATTGATATTTAATTTGATTCAAAATAAAAACATTCTATCATTTAGAGGGCTATAAAGTGTGTAAAATATGTCCATCAATTAGTATTTTTTCATGATGAATGTTATAATTGTTGAAGAATGGAACATTCTGTTTTAAAGTGGAAAAAATGTAAATTACCCATCCCCTTACACGCTTATGTAAAGCTTACATTTAGTTTATCATACTATTGCATATCATCAAGTTGATCAAGCTTATAGATTAAATTTGAAGATTGAACTATATATTATTCATTGTCCTTATTAATATAATTTAATGATGCACATAACCTAGGTCATTCTCTCTAAGGAACCTTGAAATGTCTTAAGTTTCTAGCTAATCCACTGATTTACCGAGTTAATGTCTCAAGATGAAAGCATCTATCTTGTTTCCCTTTCTAATTTTGAATTTGAGGAATTAAATTCAGAATTATGATTCTTAACTACAAACACAGAAACAGAAAATTTCATCTATGAATGAGTTATTTCCCTAGCAATTCACCTTACTTTCCTCCTTCAATTAGGATTATATGTAGTCTTCTTAAACATATCTGAATGGAATTGACAACTGTCTAATTCTCCTCTTCTAGAGATCAATGCAACTACTCGGGCGAGATCATCACAACAAAATGATCCAAGAATTAGATAGACTCAATTGGTAAGGACACTAATACAACAATTTTGAATTTTCTGTCAATAACCACAGCTGTGCATTATCATAGAATCATTCAACTAGCTCAACGGCAAAGATTAGATCTACTCGTAATCAGAAATCTATTCCTCCAACTCAGGTCATACAAACAGAATTGTTCTACAAGCATTCTAATGTAGATCCAAATGTTCAATTGATAGAACATTGTCAAATCATTCTCCAAACCTCCGACTTAATTAAATACTAACTCTGGTCCTCAATACAAAAGCTTGTTTAATATTTAATTTGGTTTTAAATATAAGATCCTGATCCGTTTTATCTTTTGTATTTATCAATTTTTTCTAAAGTAACCATTGTAGTAATTGCACATGGTAAAGATTATATCAAACAGTAATTTTAGCTAATACATATAATTAGTATGGGTATTTTAGGAAAGACAACACCTATTTATTACAAATAATTAACTTAACTAATTTTTTTAATATACTCAAATTAGTCAACTAGTTTTTATATTAAGGAATAGTGTTAGTACATTGTTACAAGTGGATTAAAGGAAATGAAAGCAGAACAATGAATCTTTGCTAGGAGAATTGAAGGATCTCAGCTATTCATGCTCTGATTGATCACCAGATCCATTCGGATGAATGAAGTAGCCATGATGATGGAGCAATTACGTGAGAGGTTACGGTTGAAAGAGAGATATGGATCAAGAGGTTCTAGTTTAGAGGGAAAATGGAAATCGCAGAATGAATGTATCCGTCGGATCTCTTCTCTTCTCTTCTCCCATTTATACATGTGTGTGTGTGTGTGTTCGGATCCATTTAAATGTAAGGGATTGAAGAAAAAATTTTAATTCCTCCAATTCAAAAAATTGAAGATATAGGGTATCATTAAAAGCTTTTAATTAATTTTTCTTGTTCTTTTATATTTCATATTCTCTTTATTAAAATTTTATAACCTTACTTTTTCAATTTTTTAAATCGAACTCATTAAATTTTTTCCTTCCTTCTCCTCTCTTCCAATTCTCTCATACCAAACATGGGCTAAAAACCAACTGACGTAAATTAAGCATAAGCTTGGGGAGAGTAGGAGACTGCAAATAATGTTAATTAGATAACACAAAACCACTCAACAACATAATTGTCTTTCCTATTATATCATCATTTCTGGGCTAGTCAGCCTTTAAATTAGAAACAGTAAAAAAAAAATCACATTAAAAAGAAGTGGCAAAGTCTTGATTTGTGCTGTCAAATTAAAAGAACCAACGTATAAACGCACTACATCATTTAGCCACACAATGTTAAAGAAAAAGCGTAAACATGTTTGTTTGGTTGTTAGGGGACAAACTCATTCAACTTACGCCAGTCAAATACCAATCTATATGAAGACACTTTGCCTCTGTACTCATTGGATGATCACTTTCTATAAGTAATTGATTAATATTATTGCTATTTTGCCATGCCCACTTGATTAATACTAGCAATAGTAGTTGTAACTTCTACTACCCGAGTTTCCACACAAGTAAGTCAGCAACCATACTACTCCTCCTTGGTCCCAAATACAGGACTAGGATCTTAGTTTAGGAATTTGTTTTGCTCTTAAGTGTAAAACGTCTCAATTTATTTTATTTCTCAAATTCATAATTTTTTTAATGAAATTATCTCTATTGGTTGATAAGGTGCTTCCCAACGTAAATGATTAAATGGGATATTAGAAAAACCTATTAACATATTTTTTTAAAAAAATAACTAATTTTATTAATGTTTATAATTTAGTAATCTAAATCCTACACTCACAATCAGAGGGGAAGTATATACCAAGTTCTTAGCATGTTTTTTTAGTAAGAAATTTACAACATATTTGAGTAGCTTTTGACTACAGATTTATTATGACTCCTCTCTCAGGAAATTAAAAGCAAGTTTCATGTTCACCACAAAATCCCAGGAAACTAATCATGACTCGAATCCCCAATATATTACAGATAAGATGTATCTTGAAACATCAACCTCTTTAAGTAGAGTTGTATGATCATTTGCTATCAAATTAAAGGCCCCAAAGTATATATATAGTTACCAGCCAACCTTCCTATAAAGAGTAAAGAATCCAATGGGCGAACACTTCCATTAACCATAAGTTTGAATGACACTCTTACCTCCAATAGCGGGCGTGATGGTGTTGCTACTATTATGCCCATTACCCCATCTTTCACGTCACTATTACATGTTTGACGTCATCCATTTCCTTTGTATGAACACACGCAAAACCTCAACTCTTCGCATATCACGCGTTACGGTTATGTCGATTTTGCTTTCGGCAGACTCTTACGACTTTTTGAAATCCTTTCTTAATTGGTTTTTTTTGTTAAAGCATATATATATTTTTATTGGAAGTAATCCTATCAAATATATTGTCGGATACTAAATGTAGGTACATCTATCAAAGGGGTTTTGAACCTTACTTCGTCATGATGTGAAAGACTAACTCATTCTGCTAGACCTAACCCCTATTGGTTCTTTCTTAATTGTTTAAATAGCAAGAAAAAACATATATGCCCATTTGTTGGGGGGCATAATAAGAAGTTTTTAGAAATTACTACGTTGGTTCTAAATATACAAAGTAGTTGAAAATTCAATTTACTCTTAAATATAAGATTGTAATATATTTTGCCTCCCATATTTATTTATTTTTGGGAGAATTAGAGAGAGGGACCTATTGTGGATAATATTTATTGGAAAGGATTTTAAATACTGTAATTATTTAGAAGACCAACTACTAAAATATAAATTTAAAAATACTAATTTGCTCCTAACAGAATCTCCTATATCCTCTATCATCACATCCTGTTATTATCATCCTATTTTTAAATGAAATAATGGAGAATTCAAATTGATCGGAATTACAAAGTCAGAAAGCAATTCTAATTACTAAAGGTAAATTAACAACCAACACTAATGAATTTATTTGTCCATCATTTTTTAATTAACAAAACTCTTTTTTTGGCTTTTTGGAATAATGAGCCTATTAAAGTTATAAAGTTTAATTGTTATTTATTTATTTCATACTATTATTCTATTTCATGCCTTATAATTCCAATTTAGGATTAAATTGAATCCTCTTAAATAATACAATTACAAATTTAAAAAAATAATAATAATAAATAATATATAACTTATTCATAGCTTATAAAAATAAAAAGATATTGTAGCAAATTTTTTTTAATGAATGTTACCACTTCATGTTGCCATGTCATGTATATTTTTCTTAGACTTTGACATCATTAATCACTAATCTAATACAAGTTCAAGCCTTTTTATGTACGAAATTGAACACCGAGAATTTATTAAGAAAAAATATAGAGGGAAAAGATACAATAAACATTGAACCCAAATAAAAAGCTCTTTTATTCAATATTTGATATTTGGTGTTATTAGGTGAAATTTTTATAAAGTCTAAATAGAGATGGTTCTTTCAAATCCCAAGTGTCGCTCATAGATATTATCCGCGTTGATGTGTTTTCTGTTTCCCTCGGCCGATGTGGGACTTTACAATCCACTCCCATTAGAATCCAGCGCCCTTCACAATCCACTTCCCTTAGGACCTAGTGTCCTCGTTGACATACCAACTCGAACCTAGTTCTGATACCAAATATAACATTCCTAGGCCCCCGAGTGTAGCCGTAGCCACCCTAGGTGTTGCTCACAAATATTGTCTGTTTTGGTGCAGCTGTTTTTATAAGGCGTGCTTTGTTTTTCTCTCCAGCCGATGTGAGATTTCACACAAATTTGAATTTTGGCACTCAAATTTGATAAATACCTGTTGATATAATGACCTTTATATGTTACTTTTTATTTGAAATTTGTAATTTTATTAACCAATATGATTCAATTTATTTCTAAGGGTCGGATTTATAAGTTTATTTTGAATTTATTTCTAAGGGTTGGATTTATAAACTTATAATTAATGTCCTGAAATAAAATAAGAGTACTTTGGTAAAAAAAAAATAATAATAAGAGTATGAAATAAATAAATAAAAATGTGGTGGACTT